CCGATCTGCGGGGAGAAGGTGCCCCCGAAGACCGGGTTGACGTGGTGCGGGAAGTTCTGGAAGAGCATGGTCCCGTTGACTGGCGCGATCCCCTGGAAGAAGCTGTCCTCCACCGCGTTCGTGGTGCCGGTGGACCAGGTGCTGCCGAAGGACGGCGACAGCGACGCGCCCGGCGCCGCGGGCTCCTGCGGCGGCGGCGGCTGCTGCGGGGGCTGGTGGAAACTCAAGCCCGGCAGGAGCGGCGACTCCATCTGCATCTTGTCCGGGCCGTTGGGGGCCGGCGGGGCCGCGGCGGGGCTGAGGGCCGGCACTGCGCTGCTTTCCTCCTGCTTGGGGGTCTCCGAGGAGAGGGGCGTGGACGGGGCTTCGGCTGCGCTGGGCTCGGGCTGGGGCTGCTGCGGCTGCCGCTGCTGCTGGGGCTGGGGCTGGGTTTTGCTTTTGTCCATCAGTAAATCATCCTGCATGGTTTGCGCAGCTGAAACGGGAGAAAAGAGAGACGCGTTATTGTCAATGTGATCATTAATGCCCCTCGCCGAAGCGGGCGGGTGTTTTGCTTGCGAAAATCCAGTGCCACCGCTACTAGCCAATTGCAGCGCAAATCCGTAATCTCCCATTTAGAAGAGCAGGTCGGGCCGGGGGCGGGGGGCGGGGGGGTCGAGCAAGGTCTCTAAAAAGACTGTGAGAGCGTCTTCACCCTGTCGGATGTCTTGGTTCCTTTTCTGTACTAGTGAGAGAGGTGCTTATAAGACAGAAAGACAGCAATTTCGCCACGTCTCTTTTCCCTTCACCGGAACTCAGAGCGTTCACCCAGCAATGAGAAACTGATTCTGGTTCCTGTTTTTTCCCAAGCACCACCCTCCCCCAGTTATTTGCATACGTCAATAAATACTGCTGCGTCCTTCAGCAAGGTTAAAAAGACACCGCACACACGACCCTTTCTTCTCCCTTCCCAGCTCGAGCCCTCGAAAAACAAAACAAAACAGCAATCCTAGCCCTCTTGATTAGCAAACTGCCTTCTTGCGTTGATAATTGTTTCATTTAGCTGCAGCGAACCACGAGGGAGGAAAATCCTTGGCATTTGTTAGGAGAAGGACTCAGCTGCACGATCATTCTCTGGCCTTCCAGTAGCTGCAGCTACTCCATTTTGTTAGGAGACAGCGGGGTGGCGGGGGGGAAACACCGTTTTTAAAGAGGTAAAAACCTACTGAAAACGTTTGGAAGTGCCTGCTTCTTGTTACTCTAAGGATCATGGTTTTTCTGCTTATTCTCCAATTTTCTTGTCTCCAATTCTGCCGCACAAGAGATTTCTTGGCATCTCAGTGCTTCAGGTCTCAACAGGAGCCTGAGAATTTCTCTGCAGAGTGGAGAAATGCTTCTGGTTGGATTTAAGGTCAGAGAGAGAGAGAGAGAGAAGGAAGGAGGGGGGGAGAGAGAGAGAGAGAGGGGGAGACTAAGATAGGTTGGGGGTGGGGCTTTTTAAAAATCCCTCGGAGATTTAAGTAGACAGTCAAGATAATTCTGGGGTTGCCAGATTTTCATTTTTGAATTCTCCTGCTGCTGCCTTGGTCACAAGACTTAAGCAAATTTAGAATCCATCCTCTTATCACTAGTATTAGCAGCAAAAGACTATGGTTTGAAGACCCTGAATTACCATATGCTAGCAAAAGTGTTAAAAATAGAGGAGTACAAAGTCTCGAATTCTCATACATTGTAATTATAGTGTATTGCCATCACTGCTTCATTTAGCCATATAAGGAGTGTATGGTATTTTCCATTTCGCATAGAAGGGCTATATTCACCTCTGTCATACAGCCTGTCTTCTTATTCAAGGATGGAAATTAGTAATCACTCAAAACCAAGAGATTTCCTATACATGTAGTTAGTTTGTCCCTTAGAACATATTAATTGCTTTAAGTACATGAATATTACAGTGCTGAGACCCTGAAAATAAATATTTTGAGATGTTAAGGAGCATATGACCAAACATATAAGTATTTTTAGATGATGATTCAGTACAACTGCAACAAAGTTATTAATAAATTTAATGCAGTTAATTAACTCAGATACTTGGAGAAGCATCTTTCTCAGGACACTTGTGAAAGGGCATTCAGATACACACAGCTCTGCCCTTAGACATCCTTGTGACAATAACCTTTGTGAAATCAATGTATTAGAGAATGGGGATATTGCTGCTCGTACTGATTAAGCAAAAGATGTCAGACTGAGAAATGGAACTAAAAGTAGTTCCACTATTTTATTAAAGACTATCATTAAAATGGTTCATTGACATCTTTCATTTCAAAGTTTCATACACAAACAAAATAGTGGTTCAAAAGAAATGCTTCATAGCCACCTAACTCTCCTTTCTATCTCACTCCCCAGCCTTTCCTCCCCCCACCACGGGGGGAAAAAAATCCAACCCAACATAATATACATCACAGACTGCCAGTAACTACCAATAAAATCTGTTCAAGATTGCTTTTATGTTCCTCAGTTCCCTTGGTCTAAAACAATGGCTTTGATCAGTATTGTAAAATACAACACAAAGAGGCAAGTGAAGCTTGGATTCAGACAGCATAAAGTTCTACTGATGCCACAGAAGATGGTCATAGAAAAAGACATTTTATACTTGGTTTGAACAGTGCTGCAGTAAACCATTGTAATCTGGGATTTGAGTTACTTCCAGGGAGCTAGAATTGTCTTTGTAATAGCCATATCATCATGGCTGAAATGGGCATTTGATTATAATTTTAATATCACTCCGCTTTTCCAGTCGCTTGTATCAATGCATTTTGTCAATGCCTTCAGCTGAAACTACCTGATCTTGGTGGAAAAATTAATGCTGTACTACAGCAAAAATCCAAAAAGTAAGCTGGGCTCAGACATTTTATAATAGCTGTAATTAATCTTAATATATTCATTGAATTTTTGAAATGCTATTACAGGAACACCCATTTCTCTTCCCAACACTCCTTAAAAATATAAATTTCACTTTCTGCATAAATTCACTCTGTCAAGGTCAAAACCCACCTTTAATAAATAAGACCCTTTAAAACAAAAGACAAGCTGTAGATTGAGATAAAATTCACAAAGGCAATATGCAATGTCTCTCTGCAACTGCCTACACAGTTTGTTTGGTTTTGTTGTATTTTTCTTTGCTTATTCACAGTAAAGTCTGAGAAATAGATACCTCCTTCCCCTCCCCCACCACACACACAATAGATATTCTTTTACATGCAATAAACCAATTTCAAGTAACAAAATCTTAGTAACAGTTACCTTTGAGTGTCCAGTTTTTAAGGATCGATAAGATTTTAAAGTGTACAATATTTTTTTTTCTTCTTTCAGGTTGATTATGTGACCGCTCTGGCAAAAGCACTTTGACAACTGTAAGAAAAGAGGGCATGCGCACACAGGGAACTGTGGGGGCTGAAGTCCTTCACAAGGTACTCGTTCTGACTTCAGCACGTTCAGCCAGGAAAGGAGGAAGCCTCGAAAATACAGAGTCCAAGGGGAAGAGCTTGTGCCCTGATTACACTACATCCTCCTAACCAATCTAAATCGCGAGTTGTTGAAATAAAAAGGGGGAAAACTAAACTGGTTTGTCAACTTTATTTAGGAAGCTAGGTTAAAAGAGGAACTGGATTGTACGACTCAGAATAAATAAAACGAGCAGGGCTACCTTAAATGGTATTAGAATGATAAAGACTGGGTAGCCAGCAATAGGAACCCCACTAGAGAGTGGGGTGGGGAGGAAGAAGCCAGGGAGGGGGAATCTTAGAGACTGAAAATCAGATCACACTTTAAAAAGGCACTTTTAACACAGAATGAAAAATGCCTTAATATTAAACATGGTTTTAACCTTTAATATTAAGGGCAGATAAAAAATAAGTTTTAGTCACAAATTTCTGACATATTATCCACCAAGATTTCTTTGTATTTGAGTTTTCAATGGAGGAATTAATCACTTATTTTAAGATTTTTATCTGATATGCCCTGAACCAATTTTCTTCATTTTTACTTGTCCAAATTAAAGTTTACTTCACCTTATTCATACAATGATTAATCACATAATATTCAACTCTTTATACTAAAATCAAATTTGGTGAAATAGTAAAAAATAATTTTATATGTTTAGTGATCCATTGCATATGACAGTGACTTCTATTCAAGACAAAAAGAAGATACAATTTCTATTTTAAATTTTTTGTATGATATTTTTTTCCCATTTTAACCCCATGATTCCAAGGCTGGAATCTCCCAATACATTAACACTGACTGTTACTATCTATTGTTTCTAAGAGCAATTAGTTCAGGAACCAGTTTGTTCATGTAGACTGAAGATAATATTTCTTATGGGTCTTGGTTCAGGGCCATTCACTCAAGGGGTTCAGAGTAAATGTCAGTCGATGACTATGCTGATTGAACCTGTACCCGAAAATGTTCAATATCATTTAAGATTGTCTTAATTTTCTATTTGCCTTCTTCACCAATTTTTTTTTTTTTTTTTTTTTTTGAGTCAGTGTCTCACTCTCACCCAGGCTGGACTGCAGTAGCACACCCACAGTCACTGCAACCTGGACCTGCTGGGCTCAGGTGATCTTCCCGCCTCAGCCTTCCAAGTAGCTGGAACTACAGGCACCTACCACCATGCCCAGCTAATTTTTTGATTTATTGTAGAGATGAGGTGCTGGGATTATAGGCATGAGCCACTGTACCCGGCCTTTCTTCGCCAATTATAACTAAAGTATTACCAGTGACCACTGATTTGCAGCATTTAGTAGTCTTTGTTTCTAGTTATTTCTAAGGTAAAAACCAAAACTAACAATATAAGAAGAAAACAAACATTTTGAATGAATCTTATAAATAAAACCTGTGTAAAAATAACTAAATGAGCCAGGTGCAGTGGTTCATGCCTGTAATCCCAACATTTTGGGAGACGGAGGCAAAAGGATTGCCTGAGTCCATGGGTTTGAGACTAGTCTGGGCAACATAGAAAGACCTCTTCTCTACAATTAAAAAAAAAATTAGCTGAGCATGGTGGTGCACACCTGTAGTTCTAGCTACTTGAAAGGCTAAAGTGGAAGGATCATCTGAGTCCACCAGGTCAGGGCTGCAGTGGTCACGAGCAACGTGCCACTGTACTCCAGCCTGGGCAACGGTGAGACTCCAACTCAAAAAAAAAAACCCCAAAAACTAAACGATGACTTACTTCCCCTGTGACCCTAACTTATAGTCCCCAGTTTTTCTCTTCCTCTATCCTCCTTTTTTTTTTTTTTTTTTT